CGAAGTCAGCACATGTCATCGATAACTAATACTATAAAAAGGGGTAAAAGTCAGCAAAACGCGCGCAGTTCTTCTAATTTAAAAGAGCTCAGTCCTACTTCTAAATCCGTGCCGTTTTTTTGTATCCATATTATATTAGCTTAGTTTTTATTTCCATATCAATGTCCGTATGTATCATTCTTAATTAGCTTTAAGTCTGCATAACCATTAAACTACATACATACATAGACACACACAACTCTGCTATTCCATTCGAACATTCTGAACGCACTAACTAGAGAGATCCCAGCTAGAATCGGATGTACAGACGTGCCGGTTGAGCCAAAAGGTTCCATCTCGTCAGTCAACCCGAGTTCGCGATAGCACTCAGTTTCCCTGCAGCTCGGACATGACAATATACAGACATATAATATAGCCACGCTGAATAAGAGAATGTGTGGATAATTTTTTCTTATAATTAACACTGTAAATTAAGAAAAGAAAATTAACATTGTAGTAACTTAAGTCGATTGAGATGATTTATTGAGATGAACAATTTAAGTTTACTGAAATATTATGTGTTATTAACATTGGTTAATCATATTAACACAAGAAAAATATAATGTATATAACATTTGTAACAGTTATATCATATATAATATATAGATAATTATATAATCCAAAAAACATAGAAATACACATATTGTAAATATGTTCTTTTTAATAAAAAGACGAGACTTCCAATGTTAATTAATTCATTTGTGTAGAATCAACTATATAATAAACACTAATTTCATCATTGGTCAATGCGAATGAGTTTATTACACAACCTAACAGAAACTTATCTATTCAAGATAATATCATCAGCCTACTAATTTATATTCGCATCAGTTAATGATATCTTATAGTTGTTGAATAATTCAATATCTTTTAGTATCTTTTAGTTGTCAAATAATCCAATAAGCGACTTTACAGTGAGGTACATTTCATCGTGTGTAAATCGCCACAAAGGCTCAAAATTGTCGTGATACAATTATTGACAATTTGCCCCGCTTTAAAAAAATCCTCGGCATTGCTCGACTTTTCAATGAAAGAATTCTGATGTTTCAAATTCTATATAACATGCGCAACAATACATGCGCAACTAACATATAATGCAATATAACATATAACTATTATTAATAAATACATAATATTCCTTTTAGGAAGGAAAAAGAAATACTTGAAACTTGACCTAACTATGTCTCACAAGTGTATATTTTAATTTCACTTTCAGTTTAGGAAATGAAAGAAATTAGGATGCTTCACAATGGTTAACACAATATTTAACCGAGAAATCACGCATCTTAATAAGAATTTTTCTACTTGTTTAAATTTGAGACATTTCCAATATTTAAAAAAATGCAGAAGCGGATTGAAATAGCTCAAGGACCACAACAGCATTGAATTTTAATTTACTTTAATTTGATTTTTCGCTCTATTAAGACCCGATGAATAGTGATATGGATCCGGTTGAGACGCTGATTGTTGAAGCGAACAGCGACCGTATTGGCGAAGTGAGTACAGTAGCGTAACGATTCCGATGAGATCGAAAATCGTAAACAATGATCTGTATGATGTGATTACAGAGATCACTTTCTTGAGAATTCACAGCAATATTCTACTTCAATGCAATGTAACTTAATGTAACGATGTAATGTAACGTTTGTTACGTAACAATGTAATGTAATGTAACCTCTGTAATGTAATGTAATGTCTTACATTACACCTGTTTATACAAATTGGCTAACGAGTTTTAGTATCAAAAAGGATTAATATCCCGTTCTGTAGTATCCTTTAGAAACTAGTAAACCCTAATTTAGTACCTTAAACTAGTATCTTTTAGAAATGGTTGGCATCGATTGTTCGATCGACGTTTTAATTTCAGCATTTTTTAAATGAACTACGTTGGCATCGAAAATACGCCCGCGGGTCAGCGACGGAGAATAACAACAACAAGTGATCGCAACACACTGCGACAGTATGGGACTTCTTGCCAGTATCACGACAAAGTTATCTGTCTTCTGAGGTTCCTGAGATAATACCCTGTATAAGAGGCTAAAGAATCAATAAAGAAGTCATATCCATAGGGAAAGGATGATGCTAAAAGAGTTTCGTTTTGGAATCACCAGCCAGACTCATCAGTGGGTCTGATGGCGACGACTTCTGTCTCAGACGCTTGAGGCTTCTAAGACATGAAAATGGCACCCTAAAAAGCTGATCTGCAAACTGCGCCACAGACGAGATATATAAATGGACATTACATCTTACGGAATTTTCGTGGCCCGTGACCTAAAATCTCGACATTTTAAAAAATCATTGGTTTTTTAGCGCACTATACGTTTAAATAACGGTAAGTTTGAGAACTGGTGAATGCGCCAGCAACATGAGACTCATTACAGTGTTATCAAACTTTCAATAAAAACACGAAGCTAGTAACTGACCGAAATCATTCCATTGTATATCAGAAAGAGCTCTATCTATGTTTTGCGGATCTATCACAACTTTTTTCAATATATAATTTTCAATATAGTAAATTGAAATTTTAAAATTATTAATACATGATTTAATATATAAAAGATTTATGTAAATTATTAAATAATTAAATAATTGAACATTCTTAAAAATAATTTTTAACTAACTAAATTTTCAACTATTTTAAATTATTATTAATATTAATATATTATAATTATTATGTATGTTCATTTACATATTCTTTATGTTTCATACTCAAATTTCCATTAAATTCCTAACAATTTTACTATAACTATGCAATACATTGTTTATGATAAATGACATAAATTCTATAATTAATTATTAAAAATTATGCTTATTAAAATATTATTTGAAATTTTTTTATAAATTATATATTTGCTTATCAATACCGTGATAATAACAAAACTTTGTTGTTTATATTTAATGTAAATTTTTAATAATTCATAAAGATTTAATGAAAAATACAAACACATCTATGGAATAATTCTTGTATATCTCACAAAATCGACCAATGTTCAATGTGTTTACAAATTTGGTACAGAGGTACACATTATGTGATATAAACTATATTTTTGCAGATCAAGGAATAGGAGGAAAATTTATACTTTATAATTTCACAGAACAAGGTAGATTTTCTTTAAAAGACGTAAATTTGTTTCTTTAAAATACGTACATATATCTTTCTCTAATTTGTACTTTGATCCTTGACTGAATCTGAAGACGGCTCATAGCGTGACGAATCCCTAACAAAGTATTTAAAGGGACATAAGTTTCAGATTTCCTATTTAAAGCATACTTGCTTAAGTGTAATTCTAAAGGGATTTTGTCGAATGCTGTCATCAGGAAACGAAAATATAAAAAAAAACATAATATTTTAAATTTAAAATCAGGGAAAAAATTTTTAACAAACAATTGTTTTTAATTCTTTTTAATTTCTTTTATTATTATTTTTAACAAAATTTCTTATTTCTTGAAATATATATTTATTAATTTTTTATAGAACAGTATAACAAATAAATAAATAATACAAATTTTTTTATTTTTAAAATGTTTTCTTTTTGATTTTGATTATTCATCATTTAACTTTCATTAATTAAAAAAATATGTTTATATATTTTATTAATTAAAAAATACGTTTATATATATTAAAAAAAATATTAATTAAAAATTCCGCTGTAATCATTGATAAACCAAAATTTTCATGAATTATGACTAATTTTTTCAAAACAATATCATGAATCTTGAACGAATTTTAATAAAAGAAATAGAAAAAGTGATACTATGTTATATTTACATGTAGCATGCATTTCTTTCATCTTAGTTTTCGTGTTATTTCATAACGCAGCGATAATGAATGAAAGAATAGAAATAGAAGCACTGCCAATAAATAAAATAATAGAATAGCAAGTCCATGCCATCAATAATAAGTTCCACTGGCTTTAATATTTATTATTGCACTCTTGTACTGTTTTTAAATGCAATATTTATATTTCTATCACGATGTGGAAAAAGAGTGGACATTCAACAAATTATATTTATGAAAAATGACAATATTATATACGTGACTTTGTCATTTGCTCTTTCATATTCAATATAACGGATATGAGAATTTAAAAAAATTATTCTTGTTTCATCTATCAAATATGAAGTAAGCACTTTCTTGAAAATCAAAAATATGGATTAAGTTGAATTTTACAAGAAATAAATTACAACACATAATGTGCTTCTTTATTGCAAACAAATTTGTAGAAATATTTTATTGATAAGTTCAAACTATTATAAAATCGAGTTCACGGAATAAAGATAATTCATTCAGGTTGTGAATTTACAAATTTGTAAGTAAAAACGTCATGTCTAATTATATTGTTCATAAAAATGTTATATTTCAATCAATTTTTTCTAATATTTCTAAACAAATGTTAATAGTCAAATATATATTAAATTTTATCGTTCCAATTTTCATTAATTTCTGTTTTAAATCGTTATATTCCCTCATTGATGACTGCCACGTTCAATTCAATAAATAATTTTAAAAACAGCTCTAGCAACGCTGTCTATATTTTTTGATTTTCACGGTGCAAAACTTGCCTGAATCGGTATGACAGGATATGACACGAAAACCGTAACCGAAAAAATACATTGTATGTCTATTACCTATATACTTTACATATACCTCGTTTGTGATAATACATGTACTAATTATAATATAATTTAATATTATAATTATACTATAATCTGACTTCGTAGAGAAATTTATTTATCTTCTTAATTTTTTTATTTTCTTAATGATTTAATTACGAAGAAATGCTCTTCCTTAATTCTGAGAGTTTCTTTCATTTAATAAGCAATAATATTTCTTTTCATGTCATTGATTTAATCTGTAATTAATAATATTATATTCTAATCTGTAATTAATAATACTATATTATTTATTATCTTAATATTACAGCATTTATTATTTTAATATTACATATAAGATAGAGATAGTTATATATAACAATTAATCTTCCTTTCATCTATTTCTTCATCAAATCGTATCATTCGAATTCAATCTCCTTTATCAAATAAACCATTCTTCCTTAATCATATCACTAGCTTTCTCCGCGATCATAATAGTAGGCGCATTCGTATTCCCCCTAACAATTTTTGGCATAATCGAAGCATCTACAACTCTTAATCCTTCGACCCCATAAACCCTTAACCTCTCATCCACTACAGCATCAGGATCCGACTTTGGTCCCATCTTGCAAGTTCCAACTGGATGAAAGATAGTCGTAGTATACTCCATCATCACACACTTCCAATAATCCCTGTTTCCAAACTCAAATTGTCTACAAGCAGGCAAAGGCTTATCCATCAATCTAAAATCATTCTTCTTAAACGACTCTGTATTAAACAGATTTGAAGCTATTTCCACTCCTTCCACCATTACGTTCAAATCACTGTTGTTGGTAAAATATCCAGAGTAAATTAAAGGTGGTGCCCACAAAGGATCAGTATCATTTAATAATACATATCCTCTGCTTTTAGGTGATAATAAAAGTGGACTAATATTTATGCCATCATAATAAGACTTTGGCTCGACATTTATATCACTAGCTAACTCTGGCTCTGTTAAAATATCCTCTTGATTAACTCCAATGAATAACAATTGTATATCAGGTACGCCATTTTCGTGTTCAAAGATTGTTTGTAAGAAAACAGAGCAAGAAGTAGTGCCTATTGCAGATAAAGGTCCCCCGTGTGTCTTCTCATAATAGAAAATATCTTCCTCCTTCATAGAGTTATTTTTTCTCGTGGAAGTAAAATTCAGTGCAATTATTAAACCGCGCATGGACACATGGTCTTGAAGATTCCTTCCAACTGATAAATCACTAATTACGTTAATACCATGTTTCCTTAACTCTTCTCTTGGTCCAATTCCAGAGAACATAAGGATTTTTGGTGAATTAATTGCACCAGCTGAGAGAATCACTTCCTTTCTAGCAAGAACTACGTTTAATTTAGTTTCGTTAGTTTCAGTCGTTGAAGCATATTCGACGCCTAGTACACATTTCGTCTTGGAGTCTACGAGCAATCTAGTGACGTATGCTTCAGTTTTAATAGTTAAATTCTTACGTTCACGTCTGATGGGTCGTATGAAAGCACTATTTGTGCTTTGACGTGTTCCATTGGCGGAGGTTGTTTGTAGGTTCATCACGCCAAGTTGGTTATTACCGTTGACATCCACGAGTTTGTATCCGAGTTCTTGCCACGCGTTCAATATGATCTCGACATTATCATCGGTGTACGGAAATTCTTGTACCGATTGGTAACCATATGTGTTGTGATATAGCGGATTGTCCTCCACTATCTGCGAGAAATGTAAATAATTGACAATATGAATTTTAATTCGATTTTTTAGTTTGATATTTGCTTGATCAAGTTTTAGCTCAATTTGATGAGAAGTTAGTGTGATATAAATTTATCCTAAATACTAGATTCTTTAAATTATCTTTCGTCTTTTTAATGGACAACACTTAGAAGCATATGTTGTCATTTATACGTATTTCTAGAAAAGTCTAGATAAATCTGTTAAAATATTAAAAATGATAAAAATTCATCCAAATTTATTATAAATTAATCGAAAGACGATATATCCTTAACATTATTATTCCGATTATAATTAGAATAATAATGTTAAGGATATGTTGTCAACAGTTCAATTATTTGATAATTGATAACATGAATTTTAATTAAATTAATTTATAAATTTATTACCTCTGGATCCATGTTGTTTTCTGACTTGAGGAAATATGGTAAAACTTCTTCGTAACTCCAACCACGATTTCCTTCTTCTACCCATCCATCATAATCTCTTGGATTAGCACGAACGTAGAGCATATAATTGATAGTACTGGAGCCACCCATCACCTATAAATATAATAGTAAATTTGTAATAGCAGGAACTAAAATTATGTGTTATTATTAATAAAATAAAAATGTAACTATTCCAAGTTTTATACACACTTTTAGACTTGTTGCAAATTTCACAATTATAACTATAATAGCCGTTTTCCATCTAACGTAAGAATAATGTTCCAAAATATCTTACATAACACACACATAAATATTTTTGTATGATATGTATTCAAATATTATCGTGTGTTACTATACTATACTGACATACTATGCTAATACAATAACAACGTAATAATGATGTAAATAACGTATAAAAAAAAAAAAAAACAGGAATTTTAAAGTTCTTTTAGTTCTTAATACGAGTTTAATTGCTCGTATGTCGTAGAAAGTTAATACCAAAATATGTTTTTACGTACTTTACCCCTTGGCATCGCACAACTTCTTTCCTTTCTTGATCGACAAGAATGTTGATCAGGTTGCATGCGATACGTCCAATCAATATTGCTTCCTGCTAACATAGAGACGAAGGACGGAATTTCGGCTACCTCTGGTTCTTCTATACCAGCTTCCAGTAATAATATCTAAAAATTTATAAGAAGTATCAACATATTTCATTATATACTGTTGATGCCTATAACTTTTGAGTAGTTGTTGGTAAGATTAAATTCCTCATTTCTAATAAAATTCATCCCAAACTCTAAACGAATAATCTGATATATGTGTGATCCATGTTACAGTAGACTTTAAGTAGTTACAGTAGACTTTAACTATTACAGTAGATTTTAAGTCCGAAAAATTTGAAAGAACTAATTCATACTTTCTAAATTGATATTGAAACAATTGGCCAATAACTTCTTTTAATACATTATTATTGCAAACATATAGAGCGGAAAGATTGTCGCATCAAACTATAGCAGAGCAAAACACCAACTTGAAAATTGAAGTTTTCAACCTTGCTGCGTTTCTTTGATCATTTTCGTCCTGCTTGCATTTTTAAAATTTTATAAACGCCTTAAGTTTGAACAAACTATAAAAAAATTCTTATTAAGATTTCTCGGTTAAAAACTATGTTTTTAGCTATTGTAAGAGATCATAATTTATTTTATTTTTTAACCTGAGGGTGAAATTAAAATATAAATACTTGTGGATCACAGTAATGATTTGAAGTGTTTCTTTTTTTTTCAAAAGGTGTATTATGTATTTATTAATATTAGGTATATGTTATATTGCGTTTTTTACTTCATTGATGGATATATTGTTGCGTAAGATATATAGAATTTGAAAAATCTGAGAATTATTTTATTGTAAAGTCGAAGAATGCCGATGAAAAATCGTTGATAATTGTACCGCAACGATTTTGAGGTTTTATGGCAATTAAAATACACGATGAAGTACATTTCACTGTATTGAGAGATTATTTGATTATTTGACGTTTATTAGATTATTTGACGTCAACAACTAACAGATGTCATCAACCGATGCAAATATAAATTCGTATAAATATCCGTTGGCTGATGATATTATCTTGAATAAATAGTTCTTGTTAGGTAGTGTAATAAGCTCATTCGCATCACCAATAGTGAAATTAGTATGCATTATATGGTTGATTATTCTTCACAGATGAATTAATTAACATTGGAAATCTAGTTTTTATTAAAAAATATATTTATAATATGTGTATTTCTATGTTCTTTGGATTATATAATTATATATATATATATACGTATATTGGATTGTATATATATATAATCAGGGTGTTTCGTACTTGTGGGACCCACTTTGGGAGCTGATTATACGCCTAAAAATAATGAAAAAAAGTCATATAAATATATGTCCTATCTGTCTTCGTTTATGAGATATAATGAATTTTATAAACAGAGCGAACTCTCTGTCCGACCTCTCTTTCCATAGACCGCAATAGTTCGTAAGCAAGAATTCGCACTTCGTACAATCAACTCCCGAAGTGGGTCCCACAAGTTACGAAACACCCTATATAATCCAAAGAACATGGAAATACACATATTATAAATATATTTTTTAATAAAAGACGAGACTTTAACATAATATAATGTATATAGATGATATAAATGTTACAAATGTTATACATATAACATTTTTCTTATGTTAAAATGATTAACATGTCAATGTTAATAGTACAGTAAATATTTCAACAAATTAAATTCATTTATTATATTGTTCATCAATTGTTCATCAATAATCGACTTAAATTGCTACAGTGTTAATTTTCTTTTCTTAATTTACAGTGTTAATTATAAGAAATAATTATCCACACATTCTCTTATTCAACCTGGCTATATTATGTTTCTATATATGATATTATATGCTTCTATGTATATTATATTATATTGTCCATTGCATCTTCTATAACATAAGTACTTTATATTATATTGTCCATTACATCTTCTATAACATCCTTTTCAGGGGAACGAATTTATTACACAACCTAATATCTCTTCAGTTTCTTCAACTATTATATATACTTAAAAACTTAAATTTACATGTCCGCAGTTTAGTAGTAATTGACAACATTTAATACAACTACCTTCCAATTTTTTACTTCGCTTAACCTGTTTGCAAGAACACATCCGGCTGATCCAGCTCCCACGATAATAAAATCGTATTCTTTTTCTGAAAAATTCGTTTTATGTAAATTATAATTGTAATCATAAACTCTAAAATATATATATATATATATATATATAAAATTCATAACACAACTGGATATATTTATAATTGTTATAGAATATATCATCTTTAAATTATTATATAAAATTACATGTAATATTTATATTTCAACCTTTATTTATTTTTCATTCAAGGCATAATTTTCGACAAAATACTTTCTCAATTTTTAGATGATGCTATCTTTCTCAATATTTTACTAATGTTACTTTATGTGCGCTGTTATATAATCTCTAATCTCATCTTGTATATTTTAATCATGATAGATACTAAGTCACAAAATGAGCGTGTAATATGTACATATATAATAAACAAAAGATTTAACATCGTTATTTTTTGACAAATTTATGCAGAAATAAATTTTTTATCCAATGAATTCTCGAATGTTATGTTAGGCAAACATTCGTACTCAAATTTGCAATACCAAATAAATTTATGCTTCAGTTCAAATGTTACATTGACTTACGAGAATTTATTTTATTAGCAAAATTTAATAATGAAAATAATGCACTTTAAATAAAATCTTAGTAATGTTTTGATAAATTTGCGCTGTTCAGTAACAGTTCAGTAGCAATTTAATACAAGCACATGATATTGCAGAATACATAATATAAACACACTTTGAAATATAATTAATTCATTGCAGTTCAAATATATACGATGTATCAGTTCAAATATATACGATATCAGTGTAATTTATATATACATTCAGTCCAAAATTTATATGTATGTTCTATAGGTAAACGAAAGAGCAAAATGTTATTTAATAGAAGTCTATAAATGGCTAATTCGAATATTATCAAAAAAAAACATGGAATACAAAACTATGTATGTATTTCGAAGTATTACCGTTCTTTTTCAATAAAACAACAATACTAAAATATTATTGAATTTCATATCAACTTTGTCGAAATCTTATGCATGCAGTTTCAATTTGTGTCAATAAATTTCACATAAATATTACTCTATTATAAATCCTTGATTTCAAACATATGGAATAGCTTTCTGTAAATAGAAATACGAAGATATCTAATATCTAGTAACTGGAGGAGATCTGGACATTTATTCTTCTCGACTAATTCATTAGTAAAATTGTTGATATTGATTGTATTTATCACAGTTCATATTTTGATTTGCAACTTTTTAATATAGCATTAATGAGTATTTTGGTACTTGACATACTTTTAGTCATATTTTTATCTATGTTACCTATACTATAGATATATTATATTTGTTTATCTTTACCTGTATCATAATTGGGATAAGAATCGTCTCCGGAATAACTGAAAAGATGTGCAACGAGCGTCAGAAACATAAACATAGGTGGCTGACATGATGATAATGTTGAATTAGGTGGGCAGAGGCTTGCTAGATTTGGAGGTACCCACGACATTCTTTTTTAGAAATTAGCACTTCTTTAGTCGATTGATCTTCTTGATCTCTTTGATAATTCACTTGGCTGTTGAGAAGAATTTTATATAGTTGAGTATTATATGTGTATTGCGGTATGTCCAATTTAATTGAACAAAACACTCAAATTTGGGAAAATGAAAAAGAAAAGTAAAACTGGTATCAAAAGGATTATTAGGAGTATCTTAGCTGTTGAAACTTACAATGATTTTGAAACATCCTATGAACATGACATTGTAATTTTCAAATAGATGTTAATGGATCCAACGGCTGACATACATTTTCTTTTATTACGTTTTTTTCTGTCTTTTATTACAAGTTCTTCAAGCATCATCTCATTGACACATAATTAACGCTGGTACAAACGGTGATATTAACGCTTTAGTAGCTTTAACAGCAGGAAAACTAGAAATAGTACAAAGCAATCGAAAATCTCCTCTTTGTTTAAACTATCTTATTAAGGAACTATTTACTTTTCACGAACTCCTTACAGTGTTAGAATATATTACAAATTCTAGCCTTAGGCGTCATAGAATATTTAATCTACAAACATTTTCTCCATTTGGTATTCTGGTACTCCTTAAGCTATAATTTATACCTTCATATAGATTAACAAAAATCAAGAAATTGCTTTGAAGTTTTTTCGTACAATAATGTTAAATTATCATTATTGTTCAAATGCGATTTTGAGATAAGCAATTTAAATAAAGATGCAACAGGCAACAGACGGTGCATATATATAAATATATATTGTAAAAAACTTTTTTGAGCAAACCAATTTTTTGATTTCTATTAATCTGTACGAAGATATAAATTATAGCTTGAGAAATGCCAGAATACCAAATGAGGAAAATGTTTGTTTAGTAGATTATATATTCTATAAGGCCTAAGGCTAGAATTTTTAATATATTCTAATACTGTAAAGAGTTCGTAAAAAGTAAATGGTATTATACTATATATATGCGCTACATGATATATTTATGATGCCGAAAATGCAGACATGATTGAAGCAACCGAGATAAAACATTCACACCATTATGGCTATAGTACGACGTTAAAATATGCGAAAGCAGAAGGCGTTGCGAACAGTCTAAAAAAGTTACAGGGAAAGTGTGGATAATTTTTTACTCTCCCTAATATAAAAAATATTTAAAAAAAAGATTTAACAGAAATAAAATATGTATGCCCAGCAGCTGAGTTGCTTTTGGAAAAACTTTATTGGCATGACTGTACACATTAGATAAACATCAAAAACATTTTAAAAAACAGTCCGAAACGAATTATTTACGATTGAAACATCGACATATACTCGTATATGTATGTATATTCGAATTGCAACATTAATCACATTGAACATTGAACATGTTCATAAGCAATTTTAGTTCTAAAATTAAATCATTATACTACGGATAGTAGATGCAATTTCATTCTAGTATTTATCAATGAAGAACAAACATCCAAATGGACGAAGATCAAACATTAAATTTTTCAAGCCTGAACAATATTTTAAATAGAGCAGATAAATGTTACAATATCATAAGTGTAATCACGTCTTGTGTTAAATTTAATTGCTGCTGAAGACTCAAATAAAATTGCTGAAGCACATTTTCGTTCAAATGTACAAGAAAAATGTACAAATGTACTTTGTTAAAACGTGTGAATGAAACTGGTCGTTCTGAATAAAAAAAAAAAACTCGAAGCATATTGTGGTGTTTCTATCCATTCACCAAAATATCCTTGCCAAACACGATTTGAAATAATATTTTTATGAAAGACAGCATAAAGAAGCTATTGAAACTAAAATCTAAATTGGAAATATTGGATATATGATTATTTATCTTTACAGATATTGAATTCCTTAAGGGGGTATTTTAGTGTGAGGTGCGTATTTTTCTAACTTTGTTAGGGAATTTTTTACAAAGAAACTAGTATACCTTTTGCAGTCAAATTGACAAGGTTTATTTGTACGTATTTTAGCGACGTTTTAAAATTTTTTAGGACAAAAAAGTTAAAATTAGCGGCACTGTATACTCTCAAATATAGTCGCTTTTAGAAAAAGGTCATCTCACGGTGTTCATGATTCCGGCTATTCTGCTTGTCGGAAATTAAAAAACGTGAATATTCCTTAATTAAAATGAATTTAGCTATAGCAGATACCAAAATAAAAGAAAAAAGTCTGTAATTTAAAAAGTGACGATATTTTGAAGTTCGATTATCAATTTTTGCATGTTTTTATTAAACTTCGGAAGCCTAAAAAAATATAAAAAATAAAATATTTTGGTTGATTGAGCTAGTAGGGGCTATAGTCACACATGTACTAAATGCGTACTTAAAATTTTGAGTTAATTGGTCAAGTAGATTTTGAGATATCATAGACACCGTTCTGAAAAATATAGTTTCCAGAAAAATGCCTTTAAAGTTTAGTATTGCAATGACGCTGGTCGTCGCGTCCTTCAAACAACCATAACTTCGTTAATTTCTCACAAGTTCACATGTGAGGTTACAGAGATTTATTTTTGAAACTATGTCCTTTAAGAATATGAAAAAAAATCGATTTTTTCAAAAGTTCACACTAGAATACTCCCTTAAACAATATGAATGCAGCGTGCGATCAATTACCTGTAACAATGTAGGTGATATTTTTCACTGGATATTTTGGCAGAACTTAAGTTGTAATTGAGTCGCGAAAAATGATAGTTTGAAATATTGCATAGCCATAAAATCTTATTAAGCCATTAAGTTTAAAAATTCGGTTTCATCATTCGTAGAATTTTCTGAAGAATGTAAACGATTACATAAACAACTCTAAATCATACAACATGGAAATTGCAGTGGATAAAGAATTTAATGGAAGACAGACTTAATGACATTAATCAAATAGTATTAAAATGTTTAAAAGAAATGGCAACTTCAGACGTAGGAATTCAATTCTTTTCGTTCTTGTAAAGCAGAATTAAAGGTATAATAGAAACAGATTATTTATTTATTTTCGTTTACGGAAAAATACTGTTAGCAACGATTGCAGAATTGTTGCAAGAAACATTGCAGAATGAAAATTATTGCCATACTTAAGTGATAATAATTCTCGAATCCCGAAATACATGGCGGCATTATTTTTAAAATATAACGAGCCTATGTATTTGTTCCAATTGTTAGACATTTTAGTGTCATTAGATTAATTCTATGCCCACGAAGGAACAGCCTTCGAATGATGAAAACTTCGAATAATATACATTGTTTTACGCAGACTTAAAAAAATAAATAAACCTATTTTTCCAAAATTATTGTTTTAATGTTATCTCTTTCTTCACTTTCTTTTTCTCATTTAGAAATGTTTCAAATACAAGCATGCTTAAAATATTTTGGATTATCCAAAATAAAAATACTTTGTATTCCAAAATCTTACTTTCTATTAGAAATAATAGTTTATTTTAATTATAGAAACAACAGTATAACTTAAAGTAATATTTAAAATATTTTTTGACAAAATTTTAGCCAGCTGTGTGAATGCCTATAGTTTAATGGGACCTTTTACATGACAATTCTTGTGCGATTCAATATCGATTCAGCATCGATATGTGAAATCGGATCTCATATCCCAAAAACCTCGATCGTCGGTGATATTTTATAATTTTGACGAGACGTTAAAGCAAACAGATCGCATGGACGCGGTCATATAATGTCATATAATGGTAGGCTTGAATATTATTGAAATAAAGTACTTGAGGAATTATTAAATAACTTAATACATTTTGTGGGATTTGATATTATTTCAAAATAAATAGAATTTTGTGTTAATTTGTTTAAATAAGAAATAGCTTTTTTTTGATTCGGTTATTAAATGAAATAACTTTTTTTTAAATTTTATATTCTAAAATTATCTTTACAAATAATTTCTCAACTAGTTTCTGATTCTATTGCATAAACTATACTTTGTGCTGTGATTATTTATTATTTTACTTAAGTGACTCAACTCAAATATAAAATGATTTGCAAATTATTCATTTCTTTCGGAAACAAAATGAAATTTCATTCCTTATGTTGTTTTTAAAATTGAAGTAATAAATTAATGTAAATGGTTTGTTATTTCAAATATTTTATTTTTTATCTTGATTTCAATTTGCTTTATGCTGCATAATAATTCGAAGTCTGTTGGCAACAACAAATAATCACCCCGTCGGGTCCACTTTTTTTTCAAAATAATCCATGGATATAGAAGACAGGGGGTGTATGTTCGTGTATGTTCAAATAGACAGAACTAACTGTAAGTTTAAGAGATAGAATTAAATGTTTATTTTCCATTTCCAAATTTGTATCTCATAGGTGTTTTCGTATGACGATATAAATATCTCTCTCTGAAAGGAGCCTAATTTAAGTATTGATATAATATTCAAAACCTAATTATTCAAATGTATATAAATTTTGAATTTTGTTTAAGTTGTCGCATATAACTATTGTACATATATTTGTTTCGTCAAAAAAAAAAGGTAATATTAGAGACTAACATGCGACTGATTAATTGTCTGAAGAATTCTATCGACAAATATTATAGTCGTATAATCTGCTTTTCAACATTTTCTTTTTTTAGGGAAAGAAACTCAAGAAAGTTTATCGCTTTTTCTCGACGAATAAACGGAATATTACGATTATTTTCAAATAAGTGCTGTTTATTTATGACTTCTAATGAAATTTTGTACCAAAAACATAATCACAATAATGTCAAATTTCAAATGGGCGTTAATGGGTTAATTATCATTATAAGACATTTACGAAATATTTTATGCTATTTTCCACAAGATCATGTAATCGTTTAATCTTGCTAAGATCCCTATTGTCATTAGTTAATACAACCACTTTAAAGTAAATAAAATAAGAGTAAGAGTAAATATAAGAAAAAGACTTACCGTACAAATATTTCTATGTACAGACACTAGCCATTTAAAATTTCCAGTTTTTCACACATTTCTAGTAAAATTAATTAATTATAATTAAAGGAAATTTTTACGTAAATAATTAATTTTTACAATGAAAGTTAACTAAATAGAATTTAGTATAGTGAAATTTATTTAAACAGCACTATCGTACGATGTACAGGATGCGTTCATGCATCGAGTCCCGATTTAAATATGTTTCTTCTCAGTCGTACCTTTCGTTTTATAAATATACGATACATAAAATATGTCGTAAATGTAATATATAGGTACTAATTATACGTTATGTGTAGTTACGTTAGCTAATTATGTATTGCAAGTACAACTTCTTCCCCTACACGAACCACGTGAGTCAGACTCTACATGTGTCGATTTCCTTTCTTCCTCTTTTTTCAAAAGCTCCACTCTCATTCTACCAAGCTTCCCACCTCATAGAGGCTAGCTACCATATATACAATCGGTGTGATCAACACATATAAAATGTGACTAAGAAAGTTTACCTGGTGTGGCGGGGCTTGTGCATCGTTTAGTAGGAAAAGAAACGACGGAGAAAAGTAAGTATGGAGAGGGCTCTTCTCCTATTTCTCAAAAAGGGGTAAGAGCCATCAGTTGGACAAGCCCTGATATATTAGTCCGATACGAATATCGTAATAGCTAATGCCTGTTAATTGAAGTTGCACAATATAAGTTACGTACATGTGTATAAGTTACATGCAACATGAAGTTGCACGATAAACATTACAATACATAATAATGTATCTTCTTTAAATTTAGAAAAATGAAAAAGCAGAAAATTATCAAAGTTCAAGAATTTTTAATATATGCTGAATTTCATTATGCGAGATAATAATTCGATAATAATTGAACGATGCTATTATTAGACTACGATTCATGTATTTTTTGGAAATTTAAAGATGCAAAGAAACACAAAAGTCTTAAAACAACCAAAAATGTATAAAATATTGAATGTAGATTGTTATTTACAATATTTTGTGGATGCAACAAATTTTTACTTAAGTCTCGACTTTTTTTAGTTATATTTGTAGAAAAAAGATAAAAATGCATAAAATCTACAGTTGAGTTATTATCACAAATCTTTAAAATGCGCCTGTAGATAAAAATTCAAAGTATTGCTAGAATATTGTGTAAAATAGTATATACATATATATCTCAAAGAAAGGAAAGAAAAGTTTTAGAATCTGTGTTATATCTGATCTTTTTTCATTCTTATGTGTTTCATATGCATATTAAACGTTTATTTATCAGTGAATTCTCATAATCGTTTCTACAAAATTTAATAAAAAATATTTCAGACATAAAGAATGCATGTATTTATTCTAAGACAGACAAATTATCATTCAAAACTAGTCGAAGTCCTGTTTTCTTTTTTTTTTTTTTTTTAAATGGAAGTTTAGCGTCGCATCGACTATGAGGTCTTTAGCGACGTGTCAAAATTGACTCTTTATAACTGGTCTAGTAGTTGGGTCTCCTTTAGGTAGTTGATAACGTTTTTTTGTTGTTTCTGGCAGGTTAGAGCGGTGTTTTGGTTTAATCCGTATTTACTCTTTATGCTTCGATATTTTCTGCATTCATATAGTAGGTGCTGGGTGGTGATTTGTAGGTTGCAGTTGCTGCAGAAAGGAGGTTCTGTTTTGGTTAGGAGGTATTCGTGTGTGATCTTGGAGTGTCCTATTAGAAGCCTGGTCATAGCTATCCTTTCTTTTCTGCTTAGATTGTTATTTGGTATTTTCTAATAGAAATGGTGTGCTATGTCATGTATTTTGGCTCTATTTGTCGTAGTCCAAATTCTGTTCCATTCTTCTCTTTCCGCTTT